TTTATATAGATATAGATATAGATATAGATATAGATATAGATATTATAATGTGTATATAGTTTAATTTGTGATTTAAATATTTAGCTTAAAAATTATATTTTTCATAGTATATAAAAATAATATTTTTTATACTTATTATTAACATGCATTTATTTGAATTTTATTATAAATTATATATTTGACCATGTACTATCCTAAAAAACATTCAAAATTTATGAAATTACATATATGTCCATAAATGTTTTTGTCTAACACATTCCTCTAAATTAATATTAAAAAACAATTGTAAACCATTGTCTAACACATTCCTCTATATAATTGCACATATGCCCCTAACCATTGTCTAATTTTCAAACTTAAACCATTGAAAACCTATATCCCAAATCAAAGTTGCAGGTTTGGTACATCTGGTTGGGCCATCGTCGGCTCGTCGGTGACCGGACGCCAGACATTGAAGGGATATTGGAAGATGCCGATGGGTCGCTGCCGACCGCCAGGTGCAAGGGCGTCGTGCGAGGCGTCGGGCTCTCTGGCGAGCTTTGCCTCCTGGTCGACCGCGACCGCGCTGGACATGAGGAGATCGCCACGACGCGATGTGAACCCTCCCGAACGACATTTGCAGACAATACGTCGACGACGGCGGACTTGGGGGACGGTAGACTCTGTTATAGCAACATCGGACTGCGTGTCGGCCTCCTCGACAGAACTGACGGTCCGCAGATTCAGCGGCGGCCGCCGGAGAAAGGGAAAGCAGCTGATGGCGCCAGGCGGAGGTGGTGGATGGCCATCGGGTGGGTTGGCTTAACTGTGTGTATATGTGTGTGTGCAGAGAGACGGGAGTGGACTGTGGAGAGAGGGAGTAGTATGTGTTTGGTGGGTGAAGGAGAATGAGTGGTGGGTCCCACATGTTATTTGGTGAATTGAAAATTAATTAAGGTGAGTTGGGTAGAAAAATTACTGAACTAGTGTTTAAAGTATAGATATTATTTTAGCTGTTGGATCATCCAATCCGATGGTTAAGATGTATTCTTATTTTTTTCACTAAGCACCATGAGGAGCCCAACCCTATATATAAATATATATATATATTCATTTTCGACCACAACTACATTGGACCAGACCACAACTATAGAAATAGTTTATTGAAAATTTGACTTTAGAATATTGGTAAAACTTATAGAAAATTCCAAAAAAAATGTTCAATGGTAGAGCAGAGAAGCAGATACAGTAGAAGGGATATTGGGGGAAAACTCCATTTTTCATTGATAAGAAAAAAGAATACAATATCTGTAATTGTTACCCGATTACAAGGAAGCGAAAGATATTTATACTAAAACCGAAATGATAAAAAGTCTAAGATGCCCCTGAGTGAACCAACTACAACATCCCCCCCTCAAGCTGGTACTTGATGAACATCAGCAAGACCAAGCTTGAACCTCAAAGAAAAGAAAACAGAAGGCCCCAAGGGCTTAGTAAAAATGTCGGCTAACTGCAAGGTAGAAGACATCTTGAGGGGCTTCACAAAGCCAGCTTTAAACTCATCACGAACCAAATGGCAATAAATTTCTAGATGTTTTGTTCCCTCGTGAAAAACCGGATTGGCAACAATATAAAGGACGGCCTGATTGTCACACCAAAGAGGCACAGGAGTAGTAAAAGTAATCCGTAAGTCATGAAGAAGGTAAGACAACCATTTGAGCTCACAAACAGTACTGCCAAGAGCTCTACACTCGGCCTCAGCTGAGGACCGAGAAACCATGACCTGCTTCTTTGTTTTCCAAGCAATAAGGGATTTGCCAAAGAAAACACAATAACCAGTCAAAGACCTTCTACTATCTGGGCAAGACCCCCAATCAGCATCACTATAAGCACTGAGAGTAGAAAGAGCACAAGAAGGATAAAAAAGACCAAGAGAAGGCTGGCCTTTGAGATACCGAACAACATGAAGGGCTGCATCCCAATGACTAGAGCAAGGAGAACCCACAAATTGACTTAGTTGTTGAACAGCATAAGTAATATCAGCCCTTGTCATATTAAGATAAAGCAGTCGGCCTACCAATCTTCTATATTGATCTGGATCGTGTAGAGTATCACCATGACCAGAAAATAACTTCAGGCCATTGGGAAAAGGTGTGGAGACAGCTTTGCAATCAACCATCCCCGTATCTTTGAGAATGTCCATCACATACTTTATTTGATTCAAATATATCCCTTCGTGTCCTCTGACTAACTCAACCCCCAGAAAATACTTTGCGTCACCTAGGTCCTTGATTGTAAACAAGCCATCCAAATATACTTTGACGTGCTCCAAGGCCTCAACATGTGAACCGGTTAAAAGTATATCATCAACATAAATGATTAAAGCCATAAAACCATGTGCATCGTTTTTCACAAATAGGCAGTGATCATGTGCTGATTGCACAAAACCAAAAGCCAACAATTTTGCACAAAATTCAGCATTCCACTCCCGTGATGCTTGTTTCAACCCGTAGAGGCTCTTCTTTAAGTGACACACCTGGCCTGGTTTCCCTTTACAATACCCATCAGGTAGAGACATATATATATCTTCACTAAGATAGCCATGTAAAAAAGCATTATTAATGTCCAAGTGAATGAGAGACCATGCTTTCATACTACTAACAGCCACAAGCAACCTTATTGTGTCCATTTTTGCCACAGGTGAAAAACTATCCAAATAGTCTACACCATGAACCTGATGAAAACCTTTGGCAACTAGTCGTGCCTTAAATCTGTCAACACTCCCATCAGGATGTAGTTTAACCTTATATACCCATTTACTCCCAATTGGTTTTTTACCAGGTGGTAAATCAACCAAACACCAAGTGTTATTTTTTTCCAACGCTGCTATTTCTTGTTGCATAGTAACAACCCACTCTTCCACTTTACTAGCTTCAGCAAACGATTTAGGTTCTTGGATAGTAGACAAATTAGCTAAGAAAGACATATAACAAGGTTGTAATGAAGGTGATATATCATGTGTGAGAGGAGAAGAAGGGGTAGTACCTGAGTTAAGATCTGTTGCTTCCAGTGAAGACAGTGGTCTTGTAGTGGATGTAAGAATATAGTCTGAATGCCATTGTGGTGGTTTTTTTGCTCGAGTACTGTTTCTGGTATTATAGGGGGGGGTGGTTATCTCTGTAGGTCCAGGTTCAGAATGTGGGGGTCCAGGTTCAGAAGATATAGGATCAGAAATTGTGTCATCAAGTCGTTGAATTGGTATTATAGGTAGTGGAGTCTCGACAGTTTCAACCACAGTGTCAAGGAAAGGAAAGTTATTTTCTAAGAATTGTACATCCCTGGAAATCAAAATTTTATGGTTATCCAAATCATAGAATCTACACCCTTTCTTTCGTGTTACATGCCCCAAGAAGATACAATGATTGGATCTTGGTAAAAATTTATTTTTGTAAGGTTCTGGAGTTGAAGCAAACACTGAACATCCAAAGGATTTTAAGGTAGAGTAGTCTGCTGAACGGCCAAACAAAAGTTCATAGGGAGTTTTTCATTGAATTGATGAGGAAGGCAGTCTGTTTATGATATAGGCTGAGTGAAGAATAGAATATGGCCAAAACTTTAATGGTAGGTTGGATTGAAACATACAAGACCTGGCTATGTTGAGTAATTGTCTGTGCTTTCTTTCTACTACCCCATTTTGTTGGGGAGTGTAGGGACATGAGGTTTGGTGTAAAATTCCATTTGAAGCAAACAATTTTTGACAAGATTGGCTAAGAAATTCAGTGCAATTGTCACTTCTAAATTGTTTAATAGTGACATTAAACTGGGTTTTAACCATTTGTATGAAATCATGTAGGATATCAGTCACTGAGTACTTATGCTTAAGAAGAAAGACCCAAGTTCCTTTACTATAATCATCTACTAAAGTGAGGAAATAAGGAGTATTTGTAAGATTAGGTACATTATATGGTCCCCACAAATCTATATGCACCAAATCAAACAGAGAGACTGAAAAAGAAACACTGGTGGGAAAACTGTTTCTCGGCTGCTTAGATTTATAACAGACATCACAATGTGAAGTAACAAATTTGCTTTCACCATTACAAACATGTTTAAGGAAATCAAGATGTTGAAGGACAGAGACTGAAGAGTGGCCTAACCTCTGGTGCCGTACATCAAAGGTTTCTTTATTAGGTACTAAAACAGAAGAACAAAAACTTTGGCTGAAATGACCTACTTCAAGGGTATAGAGTCTGCCCACTGCCTTCCCCGTTGCAACAGTATCCTTAGTCCTCAGGTCCTGTAAGGTAAAATGAGTAGGATAAAAGTTGCAAACAATGTTAGATTGTTGAGATAATTGAGCAACTGAGATCAGGTTATATTTGAAAGTAGGTATATAAAGGACATTTTTTAAACAAAATTTGGTATTGAATTTAACAGTTCCAGATTGGTTGACACTAAGCTTTGTTCCATCTGGTAGAATAATGTTCAAAGGTTTTATATGATGTAGAGTGACAAAACAATTAGGATTATTGCTCATATGCCTACTTGCGCCTGTGTCCAAAATCCAAGATCCTTCATCAACATGCTCTATACTAGTTAAGGCCAAGTGAGGGTTACCTTGAAGTGGAGTACCTGCAAATTCCACAAAATGTGCATAATTGTCTCCTCCATTCACCTTTTGTCCACTTCCTGATCCCATATACTTGGCTATTTCCTGTTTTATCAAATTTGATATATCCTGGAGTGGTAGCTCATTCCTTTCTTCAGGTGCAACTGTACCTTTGCCTATTCCTTCAGTCTTAACTGAGTTTGCCACTGATTTTCCACCTAGTTTTGCCCTTTCTTCTTTCAACAATTTAAACCACTCTGGATAGCCATTAAGTTTGAAGCATGACTGGCCAAATGTCCAGATCCTTGACAGTAATCACACTTCCATTTAGCCTTCTCCTCCTTACTGACTCTACCACCAACAGCTCCTTTTTGCGAATTCATCTGCCAGTTATTTCCCATACTACTTCCTTTGTTCACAAATCTAGTGGTAGCATTGGCTTTGGTGAACATTGCATTATGCTCTCTACTATCAGGAAACATCTGTTGAACTTGCCTCTGCTTCTCTACTCTCTGAATCATGGAGTATGCTTTGTTTACACTTGGCAAGGGATCAAGCAACAGTATCTGGCTCATAACACTTTCATAATTGTCATTTAATCCCATAAGGAATTGCATCAGCTTTCTATCTTCCTCGATTTTAACCCATTGCTGTGAACTACCACAATTACAAGTAGGCAAAGACACCAAGCTAGAATACTCAACCAAAGTCTTTTGAGTTTAGTGAAGTAACCTGCAACCGAGTCTCCTTCCTGTTTGATATTGGAGATCTCCTTTTGCAGCTGATAAAGCATCGGTCCATTGTTTTCCCCAAACCGCTGCTCGATCTCTTCCCACAGTGCCTGAGCTGATTCCGCATATAAGAACGCATCGGCGAGATCCTTGCCAAGTGAGTTCAATATCCAGCTATACACCGTGTAATCAACTTTCCTCCACTGTTCGAACTCCGCCGCATCTGGATCTGGCCTTTTCACTCGACCATCGACAAAGCCTAGCTTTGTTGTTGCACCAAGTGCGATTGTCATAGCTCGCCGCCACGATTGATAATTGGAGCCGGTTAACAGAGTCGAAACCAAAGTCATACCAGGATGATCAGAATTATGCAGCAAATACGGATCATCCATCCTCATTACCGGCGGTTGGTTTTGACCTCCTTCGCCAGGGTTGTCGGAGTTTCGCCCACCGGCGACTACTGCATTCCATGCCGTATTTTTCACCATCGTGATCGATTGTTATTACTCTTGCTCTGATACCATGTTCAATGGTAGAGCAGAGAAGCAGATACAGTAGAAGGGAAATTGGGGGAAAACTCCATTTTTCATTGATAAGAAAAAAGAATACAATATCTGTAATTGTTACCCGATTACAAGGAAGCGAAAGATATTTATACTAAAACAGAAATGATAAAAAGTCTAATATGCCCCTGAGTGAACCAACTACAACAAAAAATGATCATTTTTCAGTTAATTAATATTTTTAATTGTTCATTATATATTTCATTGAAAATTAATGAAATTATTGCCTATTGTCTTAATCGTGTCTTATTTGTTTTGACATACTACATTTGTTCCTTCATTCACATCAGTTGATACTTGAAAATAATTGATCTAGGTGATGTTGCAAATTCTACTTACCACATTTTTTTTTTTTAAACTAAGATGAGCTAACAATGAACCTATAAAAGCGTTATGTCAATTTCACCTGATCTAAAAAAAATTTCGTCACTTTATGTACAATCTAATACCAGTAAATGTGCTTTGTGTTGTTTAATAATCTATATTCTTGTTGTTGCATAATCTTTAAAAAGTATATTTATCAATAATTCATCTTGAACTTCTCTATAAACATTATCATTTGTGTTATTCAAATACATGGGTATATATGCAAGATCGTATCCGCATATACATTTTCTCATACTTTCTAAGTAAATATTAGTATAGTTTATGATCTTGGCTAAATATGCTTCTATCCGACGCATTTAAATTTCCTTTTAAATTCAGACATGGAAAGAGAGTATATATTTAAAATATCTTCATTGTTGTTCAAGCACAATATACCAATAGTATTACAAATATTTTTCTTAATTCATTAGCACCTTTTCAAAGTGAGTTCTTTCTTCAAACACTAACAAATACTTTTGTCACACTTTGGTAATCACATTTTTTTGTGTTACTTCTTTGAAAGAAACGTAAGCTACACTATCTGCAAGTCTAAAAAATCTATACAAATTTTGGTCATGTAACATGATTGAAGAATATCTTTTTATAACATTTTTCACTTACATGCTAAACTAAAAAATTATGTGTATTGCTTGTTTGGCTCATTCAATATATGTCTTACAATTAAGTCAAAGTCAAACTGAAAGAGTCAAAGGTACGTTTGTCGATTAAAAATACCAGCTCAAACATAACTATCAATTAAACATGACTATGAATTTTCTACTTAGGATTCATGGTTATAGAATTTTAGTAAGGTACTCCTATTGATAGACTACGAATTTCTGTATATATATATATAAAAAAATCATAATAATTCAAATCGATAATATTATTGGAATAATATATAAAGTACATTTATTACACTCTTTAAGTCAAGATCAAACGCATTCTCTCATCGAAGAGCGCACGTATTCTCTCATCGTAGAGCGTTTTCCAGTGGGGGTTCCCGTCATTCATTTCTTCTTCATAGAGTTCCAATTCTAGCTTTCATTGCTTTTATCCTTTTCCTGAATTGCTAGTTTGTTTGGTTGTGGAGGGTTTTTAGTCGGGGAGTTTTTTATTCCAATTTGGGGATTAGGGTTTTCGAGATGGCCAGCCAATCCTTCATAGGCCACGATGATGAATCTTGTAAATCGCCTAGAAGAATTCTCTATGTCAGAAACAGAGAATGTCATAATAGACCTAGCCTCAACCAACATTCATTTCAGTGCAGAAGAATGCCATGAAAGCTTATTTGGCAAAATTATAGGTGACCGTCCGGTGAGTTGGATGGGAGTGAAATGCACCATGAGCTACATATGGAAGATTAAACAGGCAATGGATGTGAAACAGCTAGCCACAAATTTCTTTCAGTTTCTATTCTAAAGTAAGGAAGATATGGACAAAGTAGCTCGAGGTACGAACTGGACTATAGACAACCAATTTCTTCTTCTCACGGAATGAAAGAATGTTTATCTGCTAATCACTCAGTATTCCAAGAGCTACCAATCTGGGTGCAAGTGCTCAACGTCCCCTTAAACTGGCTCAGCACAGATATGGGGTTAAAGATTGGTAAGGTTTTCCATGAGCTTAAGAACGTGGTAGTGGCTGGTGCAGGCAGTCATGGAGGTAAAATTCTCAGGCTCTTAGTTACTATTAATTTGGCAGAACCTCTCCCCAGATGTGCTTCTATTAGATTGTGGGATCAGTTGATAAAAGTTGGCTTCAAGTACGAAAAACGGATGAAGATGTGTCATTACTGTGGCTATATTGGACATTTAGACAGAAGATGTAAAAAGAAGATTGATGATATTGCTAAAAAATCAGTAAGAGAGGGCCAATAAGGTGATTGGATGAGAGCACCAGATTTCCTGCAGTGGGCTAATTCCAGCATCTCGAGCTCTCAGCATCAATCAAATTCTCCAACTACTCCAGTGCAAACATCTCCCCCAACACATCCACATGTCACGTCCAAGAGCATAATCAAACCCTTGTTGTTGCAAAAGAAACTCCTCAGATCATCCCACCAGAAGTGCAGGAATCTAGTGGCCCCAAATTTGCTACCAAGAAATCTGCAGGGATAGTCATCAAAGATGCAATCTCTGCTCCCAATCAGGTTCCCACATCTGTTAATCAACCAGAGCAGCAGATGATAGAACCAATCAATTTGGAGGACTCACAAACTGCTCGAGTACAGCCTATCACTGTCCCAGAAAGCTCCCAGGACCTTCTCATGATTGAACAACACCCCTCGCAACTCAAAACCTGGAAAAAAGCACCCCGCAGAGATGGTAGGCTCACCAGACAAACAGACCAACCCATAATTAAAGGAGTCACTGCTACAGAAAAACGAGCTATCCATGAGGCAAATGTTTCAGAGGTGAGACTATCTGATGAAATCCCCAGCTCAGAAGTGGTAAAGAAGTTAAAGTCAGGCTCAACCAAGGTGGAGGTGGCCAGTCTCGAATGGCGCCCAAGTGACCAATGTTAGCTGCGGTGTGGAACTGTTGAGGATTGGGTGGGCCCTCGACGGTTTCCCAAATCAAAGAGACTTTCAGATCTTACCACCTCTTTTTCTTTTTCCTTTCTGAAATGAAGAATTCCTCGTCTTTTGTTAAATCTGTTGTTAAAAAAATGGGCTTTGTGGATAGACATGTGCTGGTTGACCCAGTTGGTATGAGTGACGACCTCTTACTCTTATTGTCCGCTGAGATTACTATTGTCCAGATGGTTTGTAAATCTTGCTTCATTGCGGTGGAATTTTCTGTGGCTAATGGAGAAGTTAGCTGGGCTACTTTTGTTTACCTTAGTGCCTGTGCCTCAATTCGTATTAATCAATAGAAGCTTCTGGAAGATAAAAAATACAAGTAGAAGGATTAATTAGTTCATTATTGGGGATTGGAACGACATATGCTCAAACTCTGGAAAATTATGGGGCTCTCTAAGGAGTGACAGAAGTCTTGTTGGATTGAAGAATTTCATCAACTCAATGTCTATGGAAGAGATCAAAATGACTGGGTTTAAATTCACTTGGTGCAACCATCGTCCTTTTAGAAGGTCTTATCCAAGAAAAGCTAGAAAGAGGGCTCAGTTCTTTGGAATGGCTTCAACAATACCCTAATGCCACTATTAAAATATCGCAGTGCATCAGATCATTCCTTACTCCTTCTCAACACAGGGGCTCATTTTCAGAA